CTTGAGCCACCGCGCCCGGCCTTAAAACAGTAGGATCCTTCAGCCCAGGAGTTTGAGACCAGCCTGGGTAACATAGTGAGACCCCCGTCTCTAAAAAAAATAAAATAAAATGAATTAGCCTGGTGTGGTGGTGGGCGCCTGTGGTCTCAGCTACTTGGGAGGCTGAGGCAGGAGGATCACTTGAGCTCAGGAGTTGAAGGCTGCAGTGAGCCATGATCGTGCCACTGCACTCCAGCCTGGTTGACAGAGCAAGACCCTGCCTCTAAAAAAACAAACAAAACCCCACACAGATGGAAAGTTACTTTGTGAAACAGATACAAAAGATGAGGAGAGATGGAGAGAGTGAGGAAGGGAGACAGGTCTGGCTGCAAACAAAAGGGCTGTCAGAGACAGGGAAATGTCACCTGCCCCGGAGCTGCGTCCTGTCACCATGAGGGATGTGCCGAGCGTGCAGTCTGGCACAGATCTGGCTGACGGATGTTGAGGGTCCCATTGCCAGCGGCCTGTCACATCCCCTCCCCACTGCCTCTTTCCGGAGCTGAGCCCAGCTTCTCCGTGGCACTGTGGAGATGAACCTGTCTGGGGCTCAGAGTGTGCTGTTGGGAGTAGCCTTGGCCTGGTGCCTCTGCCTCGCCTGTCCCCCTACTCTGCTGCGAACAGTCAGTTCCTGTTCGTGGGGGCTTGCACGGGGCAGAGGGATGGACGAGCTGGCTTGCTCAGAACCTCCTGCCAGCCACAAACTGAGCTGTGCTTGTTTTGGACGTGGTAGACTGAGGGGCCCAGGAAGGTAGTCGACATAGCGAAAGTGTGGTGGGACGTGTCAGGAGGGGAGAGTGGTTAGATCTTGCTTTCCCAAGATCACGGACAAACATCTAGAGCTCCCCTTCCTCTAGCCCCCAAACTGCCCCCTGGTTCTGGGGTGTGGGGGAGACTCAGGGAGCCTCTTGGTCAAGTCCCAGAAGCTCAGGCCCCACCAAGCTGGTGAGTTTTTGCGTCCCTGCTTCAGCTCCTCTCTGGCTCAATGGGACCTTTCCTTCTCACCCAAGGGGTGGGGCCTCTTAGAGCCCAGCACATGGGTGAAGCAGAGACCCTAGGCCTGGGGGCTACCTGCAGGGAGGGAGTGCCAGAGTTCCTTTTGTCTTTAGGGTTCCTGAGAGCCCGATGCTGGCACAGGATGGTAAGGGATTGGGTAAGTCCATTCACCTCTCTGGGCCTTGGTTGTCATATCTGTAAAAGAAGAACCATCCTGCCCTGAGTGGACATGGGGCGGGGGGTGGTAGAGCATCGGGCTGGCCTCCAGAGTGGCTGCTTCCTCCTCTCTTTAGGGTTTGCCCTGTTGCTGTCTGCTGTGTAGCATGGAGCTGAGGGCCAGGAGACCCACTGAGCATTCATTCATTCAACAATCAGGAAGCACCTATTGCCTGAGAGGCATTGTGCTGGGCACCAGGGAGACAGCAATGACCATGTCAGATAAAGCCCCTGAGGCCGTGGAGTTTCCAGTCTAGTGAGAAAAGGGGAAACAGTGAAAACAATAAAGATCATTTCAGTTAGTGACCCAGCTCAGTGAAGAAAGGAAGGCAGCTCACTATGTTATGCTGTGAGTGGGGGCAGCAGGGTGGGAGGCTCTCTGAGAAGAGGACTTTTGAGCTGCCTGTTGAAAGGTCTGTGGGAGAACATTCCAGGCATGGGGAGAGCCAGATCCAAGGTCCCAAGGCAGGACAGGACAGCTGTATTGAGGGATGTAAAAGAAGGCCAGAGTGGCGGTGGCAGCAAGACGGGAAGAAGGGCTGGGCAGAGGCCACCCCGCAGGGCTGGACTGGGAGGGCCTGGTGAGGAGGAGACTGTTAGCCTGAGAAGGGTGGGGAACCCTGGGAGGGCATTGGAACGCGTTCTCTAGGCCAGCTGTGTGAAGAGCAGGAGGATGAGAGAGGCAGCCTGGAGGCCCATCCGTGAGAAGCAGATTGCAGTGGTCCAGGAAGAGATGGTGGTGGTTGGGCCTGGGCAGGGCAAGGGGCGGTGGAGCTGAGAGGGACCAAGATGCCTGCTCTCCATAGCTCCAGATACACAGACACTGCTCTAGGAAGGCCCTCCCAGTTGCCATGGATTAGGGGGTGGGAGGGGAAGATTGGCTGCTGGGAGGGAATGTGGCTTTGTGCTTGGAAAACAAAGAACAGAGCTTGGGGCCCTCTTCTCCTGGGGGTGGTGGCAGGCCCAGAGGCTGTTGACAGGACCAGAGGCTGGAGCTCAGGGCTGGGCCTGGCAGGAGCAGGCTGCGGCCCCAGGGATCCGGGAGTGGGTAGGTGCCCAGCAGAGGGACCCCAGAACCCTCCAGGGGTGAACCCTGTGGCTACTGGGCTTGGGGCAGGGAGCACCAGGAAGGACAGATAATTAGCGGAATGCTCAGCCCTGCAACCTAGGAGCCAGGCTGTTTGGTGGAGGACGTTTGGGCAACAGTGCCCTGGGCCGTGGGCTTGGGACTCAGTGTGGGGACAAATGCATTTGGGAGCCAATGGCAACCCTGGGGGCTGTGTGGGAGGGACAGGAGGAGGTTGACTGGACTCTGCCTTTGCGTCTCTCCCAGCCCTGCCGCTGAGGCCCCGCCCTCCCCGCCCTGAGGTGGGGGCCCACCAGGATGAGCAAGCTGCCCGGGGAGCTGGCCCGAGACTTGGAGTGCAGCCTGCCCGCCGTGGCCTCCCTGGGCTCCTCACTGTCCCACAGCCAGAGCCTCTCCTCGCACCTCCTTCCGCCACCTGAGAAGCGCAGGGCCATCTCTGATGTTCGCCGCACCTTCTGTCTCTTTGTCACCTTCGACCTGCTCTTCATCTCCCTGCTCTGGATCATCGAACTGAATGTGAGTGGAGGCGAGATTGGGGCACAGGCTGTGTTGCAGGCCACCCAGGCCTCCGTTTGTCCATCTGCCACATGGGAGGGCTGCCTCTCCCCTGGGGTTGGTTAGCTGGGTAAAATGAAGACTGGGAGGAACAACAGGGGTTCTCATATTCTGAATGAAGAGCTGTGGAGGGGTTCGGAGCGGTTGCATCATTTGGCCAAGGTCCCTCTGCATGCACATGCGTGAAGGCCACGGCCTTGAACCCACCCTCTGGCTCCAGAGTTCATGCTCTTGGCCTCTGCCCCATACTGCCCCCTAGTGGAGGCTCCCGAGAGAGGAGGAGGGGGAGACCTAGCTCTGGCTGATCTGTTGAAACCTTTGTCTTCTTTCTGCCTGCCACTGCCCCACTGCTCCACTGCCCTCCAGCTCCAGTTGGTTCATTCATTTGTTTGTTCATTCATTCATTCATTCGTTCATTCAGCAAACATTGTTTGAGTTTCTGCTGTGTCCTAGGCACTGTGCTAAAAGCAGATGCTAGCCACGTGTGGTGTGCACACCTGTTGTCCCAGCTGTTTGGGAGTCTGAGGTGGGAGGATCACTTGAGCCCAGAAGTCTGAGGCTGCAGTGAGCCATGATTGCACCACTGCATTCCAGCCTGGGTGACAGACTGAGACCCTGACTCAAATAAATAAATAAATAAATAAAAGCAGAGGGCAGAGTGGGAAGCAAAACAGGAAAAACTCCCAGTTCCCAGTGGCTCTAATAAGATGCTGCTGGGCAGCCTGGAGACCAGAGCTGCCCCACCCCCACCCCCACCCCACATAGTGCTTGGCCCACCCTCGGGAACACAGTCTAGTTGGCAGTGGCCTGATCTGGTCTCCGGGCAGGGCCAAGCCCACAGAAGCAGGAGCTCTGGAAGCTGGGCACTCCAGGCTCAGTTCTGTCCCAGCTCCTCCTCGGAATTGACCCGATGACCTCAGCAAGGGACTCGGCCCCACGAGTCCTCCCCTTGTTTTCCTTCTGCAGCGTGGGCTCCCCATCAGAGTTCTGGATGGCAGGGCCCTTCCTCCAGGTCTCAAGCTTATGTGACAAGAAAACAATGTCTTGTTAATAGAGGTGATGAGCTCGGAGAAGGGGCCAGCTCGGGGCAAAGAAAATAAGTTTGATGCTGGGCATGTTGAGCTAGAGGGAGAGACAGGGCTCTGAGGGTGACTGTCCATTGTGCCCTGGAGATGAGCTGGCACCTTCAGTGAGCTGGAGCCACGGCCATGGATGGCCCTAGGGGCCATCTTACCCATGAAAAAGCTGTGGCCCAGCAGGCTCAGGGCCTTCTGCAGAGCTTCTGAGGTCTTTGGCAGACTTCCTTTTCAAGGTCCCATCCGACATCAAAGCAAACACTAAAACTTACCTGCATCCTTCATTGAATACATGTTTCCTTACCCAAGAAGAGCTGAAAAGATTTTGATAAGTTTACTTTTGTTTTGTTTTTTTGTTTTGAGACAGGGTCTCTCTCTGTTGGCCAGGCTGGAGTGCAGTGGTGTGACCACAGCTCACTGTAGCCTCCGACTCCTAGGTTCAAAGGTTCCTCCCACCTCAGCCTCCCCGGTAGCTGGGACCACAGGTGCACCACCACGTGTGGCTATTTTTTTTTTTTTTTTTTTGGTAGAGGTGGAGTCTCACTATGTTGCCCAAGCTGGTCTCAAACTGCTGGGCTCAAGTGATCCTCCCATCTTGGCTTCTCACAGTGCTGGGATTAGAGGCATGAGCCACTGTGCCTGACCTCTGTAATTGTGCCTTTGAAGTTATTTGGCTGTGTTGGCTGCGATTGCTCTGCAGTCCTCATGCATACCTGGGAATATTGCAAAGTGAGAAGGTCTAACTTACTAATTGTTTTCAGATGTCATGAAACATTTCAGAATCCTGCATTGAACAATTAGTAGAGTGCGCATGATGTTTCCCTTGGCAGACATTTAATACTGTATTGATTTTCAGTCTTGTAGTTTTAGTTTTATATTTGGGAGCATATATATTTTTAGTTCGCTGACAGACTGTGTCTGTGTTGCCCAGTGGTTATAAGGACCTCAGTAGGGTCGTGCTGAGCAGGGGATTTGGAGCCAGAGAGTGGCAAAGCAGGGGCTGAGACTTGGCTCTCCCGAGTCCTGATCAGTCAGCACCAGTGGGTGCCCAGGCTGGAGAGAAGAGGAAGGAGGACAGAGCTCTGAGGCCCAGTGACTGAGGGTGGAAGGGGCTGCAGAGCCCAGGACAGAGTCTGAGGAGCAAGAGGAGTGTTGGGTGGTGTGGGTTGGGTGGGGTGGGTAGGTGGCAGGCCTGGAGGCCTCATCAGCAGCCAGAGGAGAGGCGGCATCAGATTTCGTGGGGCTGGGGTGGGCTTGAGGTAGAGAGGCACATGGTGGGGCTGTGTGCTCAGTGGGGGAGCATCTGTATCTTTAACAAGCCTCCCCCTGCCAGATTTGGCTGCCCTGCTGGAGAGCAGAAGCCCCGGTGTAGGCAGTTGTGAGGGGTCTTCCTCTCCAGGGTTCCTGGGCTCTATCGCCCAGAGTCCCCCTGTGTCCTCTCTTCTCCAAGGTGGCTGAAGAAGCCTAGGCCTGTCACCCCTGTCCTTCCAAGGAGTCAGGCCAGAGTCTGGCCTGCTGTCCGTCTAGTTCCCTCAGACCTCTGGACATTGGAGTCGGGGCCAAGGCCTCAGGGGTCCTGGTAAAAATGTCTGGCTGACTGGGGTAGGGACAGGGGCAAGGACACATCTACTCTGTCTCCACCCTCTCCAGCAGCGTGATGGATTTTGCCCATTAAGCATAAACCTAATCAATTGATTTGCTACCTGAGGCTCTGTCTGACACCACTGCCCACCCCCAGCCCCCATCAGCTCAGATGGATTATTTGGCTGGGAAGATGGAGCACTGCAGTGCCGGGAGGGAGATGGAATTCCGTCAGAGGTGGGCTTCCGGCGCCCTTCTGCTGGCCCTGTGTAGGGCGCATTGCCTCCCCTGCACAGCCCCCAAGCCTCCCAGCCTGCCCCTTCCTGGGCAGGGTGCTGGAAGCTAGCCCTGCCTATCAGGGCGGCCTGGATCCTTAGGGGAGTGGTATTGGTGTCTGAGGTCTCTGGCCTTGGGCTGAGCTCCCTTGGTGCTTCTGGGGCCCCCTGGTGGTGGCTTAGCACTAACGGCCTCCCCTCCAGGTTCCTCCTTCCCCTACCTCTTGCCACTTCTGGAAGGTGAGGGGCAGCCCCAGGCCCTTGCTTCTACCTGCAGAGCTCTTCCTATCTCCCTCTCACAGACCAACACAGGCATCCGCAAGAACTTGGAGCAGGAGATCATCCAGTACAACTTCAAAACTTCCTTCTTCGACATCTTCGTGAGTGGCCTTGGGAGATCCCAGGGACCCTGGAGGCAGAGAGGGAGCAGGGAAATGACTTCCGCTGGGTTCTCTTTCTGCAGCGTATATCCAGTCTGATCAGAGAGTCAGCTCCCATCCTTTGGGAGCCATCAGTCGTTAAAACCTTTTTTCCACAAGGCCGGGCACGGTGGCTCATGCCTGTTATCCTAGCACTTTGGGAGGCCGGGGTGGGTGGATCACTTGAGGTTAGGAGTTTGAAACCAGCTTGGCCATCATGGTGAAACCCCATCTCTACTAAAAGTACAAAAAATTAGCTGGGCGTGGTGGTGCGCGCCTATAATCCCAGTTACTTGGGAGGCTGAGGCAGGAGAATCACTTGAACTCGGGAGGCGGAGGTTGCAGTGAGCCAAGATTGTGCCACCGCTTTCCAGCCTGGGCAACAGAGTGAGACTCTGTCTCAAAAAAATAAATAAATAAATAACCTTTCCTCCACAAAGCCCCCGTCAGAGAGCCCCAGGTGGGAGAGGGAAGATAAGACCCCTGTCCAAGGTTACATCCAAATTGTCCCAGAGAAATGCTGACTCAGTCGTTGTCCCCTGAGGTGTGCATGCCCATAGGGAGGGAATGTGGGGGCAGGACCAGAGGGGAGGTCAGCCTGCAGCACGGTGGGGGGCATTAGCTTCCTGTGATAGCCTGGCTCCCATCCCACCAGGTCCTGGCCTTCTTCCGCTTCTCTGGACTGCTCCTGGGCTATGCCGTGCTGCGGCTCCAGCACTGGTGGGTGATTGCGGTAAGATGCCACTTCCCTGGCAGCTCCTGGGCCCTGGAAGGGCTGGTGGAAGGGATGGGATGGAGGAGGACTCACTTCTCAGCCTCTGCCTTCCCCTTCCTCCTTCCCTCCCCTGGGCAGGTCACGACGCTGGTGTCCAGTGCATTCCTCATTGTCAAGGTCATCCTCTCTGAGGTCAGTGGCTCAGGGTCTGGCCAGTCTGGTGGGCATCAGACCTCAGTGGTATGCTTCTAGAGAGGAGCATTTCTCTAATTTGGGGTGTCTGTCCCTGTTGTCCGGATTAGGGGGAGAGGGAATCCTGTGCTTTGGTATCTCTAAGGAATCATCCTTCCCTGACTTAGCCCCCTGAAGCTCCAAGAATCAGAAAGTTATTCCTCCAGCCTAATCCCAGTTTATCCTGCTGCAGACTTGAGAGGGTTCCCAAGCAGCTGGTACCAGGAATGGGGTATATGCCAGTTTGGCTGGCTAGAGTTGGTAGCCACAGGAGAGGGCTCTGGGTTTGGGGTGACCCCTGCCATGGAGCTCAGCCCCCTCCCTCCACAGCTGCTCAGCAAAGGGGCATTTGGCTACCTGCTCCCCATCGTCTCCTTCGTCCTCGCCTGGTTGGAGACCTGGTTCCTTGACTTCAAAGTCCTACCCCAGGAAGCCGAAGAGGAACGATGTGAGGGCTCATGGGTAGGGGGGTGCAGCGAGGGTTGCCCCAGCCCCAAGGGAGGGGAGTTGCGGGCATGACAGTCAGTCTGAAGCATCTTGCCACCTCTGAGCAGCCTCCAGTAACCTGAGGGGGAGCTTGGCTGTTGGTACCCCAGGCTGCTAGGGTGTTACTGTGCTCAGTCTGGGACTGTGGCGGCCCATGTCTGCTCCTCCAGGGTATCTTGCCGCCCAGGCTGCTGTTGCCCGTGGACCCCTGCTGTTCTCCGGTGCTCTGTCCGAGGGACAGTTCTATTCACCCCCAGAATCCTTTGCAGGTGAGGGCTGGTGTGTGGGGGAACTGCTTTCAGGGAGGGGCCTTGTGAGGAATGGGGTAGGCTGGGTCTGTTCTTTCTATTCCTTCTATCAGGCTCCCTGGGGAAAGCCAACAACCCTCTCCCACACACTTTTATCCCCCACATCCTTGCACTCACATACCCGAACCCCACTACCTCCCCACACTCTCCCCACCCCTTGCCATTGTCATCTGTGCCTGTTTTCTGCAGGGTCTGACAATGAATCAGATGAAGAAGTTGCTGGAAAGAAAAGTTTCTCTGCTCAGGTATTTGCCTGCCTATCCCCAACCCCTGCCCTTGGAATGGGCGCCTGGAGGAGGGCCAGTGCAGGGGTCAGCCGGGGTGGGCAGGGGTTTCCCAGTAGAGGCTGAACCTCGGGCAATGCCCATCTGAATGCCCCTCCACCAGTCCAGCCCCCCAGGTCTGCCTCATGGTTGGGCGCACAGGAGGAGCAGCCACAGGCCTGCAGGGCCCAGGGAGACCAGCCCAGATCCCCCACATGTGACTGGGCCAGGCCCCTCTGGGAAGCATGTGGTATGTCTAGAGAGAGAACAGGCCACGAACATGGGGAGTTGTAGGCCCCAGGCTGACCCCTCGCTGCCTTCTGCTTCCGTCCAGGAGCGGGAGTACATCCGCCAGGGGAAGGAGGCCACAGCAGTGGTGGACCAGATCTTGGCCCAGGAAGAGAACTGGAAGTTTGAGAAGAATAATGTAAGAAGCCCTCTCCCACCTGACCTTCCCATGCGTGTTAGGAGTTTCTGTTCCCTTTTCTGAGGCCTCAGGAGGAAACCCAAGGATTACATGGGTTGGAGCCATATTCCTGCCCCAAGAGAGGGAGCTGGGCCCTCGGGTCGGCAGGAGGCCGAACTGGATTGGACGTTTCCCCCACCCCCCTCGGCCCCCTCTTCCCGGCACCACCCTGTCTTTACTTCCCTGCTGTTCTGCCCCCTTGGCTCCAGGCTTTGAAGGGGAAGCCAGGCTTCTGCTCTGCGTCCGTTGTTTCATTTCATGATCAAAACAACGTTATCTACAAAGATCGTAGAGCGCTTGGAAAACAGAGGGAAACATGCCCCAGACCCTCTCCCTGGCCAGTTCCTGTGGCAGCCCCATTGGCCTGGAGACATGGCTTTTCGTGGTTGCAGCGGCAGCTGTGCCCCCGTCTTTTAACTCAGCATCAAAAGCCTCTCTCCCGCCAGTGCTGTAGGTTTGTTAGAGCTGCTGTTTTGTAACAACTGCTCAGGTAGCCCCAGACTCCTGGAGTTTTCCACCCTGTGCTGTTAAAAACCTGCCCTGCCTGTCACCCATTTCTGTGGCACCAGCCCACCCCCTGCCTCCACTCTCCTCCCTGCCACCTTCTGTCCCTGCCACAGGAATATGGGGACACCGTGTATACCATTGAAGTTCCCTTTCACGGCAAGACGTTCATCCTGAAGGTGAGTGAGGGGAGCGGGTGTCCTGGAGCCCCAGACAGCACAGGAGGCTCTAGGAAGGGGCTGAGGGGTCCTCTGGTGGGTGCCCACCAAGAGGGAAGGATTGGTCTGCCCGAGCCCATCTGGCACCACCCAGCCCTCTGCCGCCCTGTCCCAGACCTTCCTGCCCTGCCCTGCGGAGCTCGTGTACCAGGAGGTGATCCTGCAGCCCGAGAGGATGGTGCTGTGGAACAAGACAGTGACCGCCTGCCAGGTGAGCCCAGTGGCTGCCTCTTAAGGCACAGATTGGGGCACAGCCACGCCCCAGTGGGATCACTGAAGCACTCTGCGCCTCAGCTGCCCCATGTGTACAGTGGGTGTAATGGTAACAGTGCCTGCTCGAGAGGGTTGGGAGGAGGGCAGGAGGAGTGCTCATCAGGTGCTGCCCAGGGCCTGCGGATGGCGATAGCTCTTAGTAAAGGGCCCGGGCAGAGGAGGCTGGCCTGGGGAGTTCCCATCCCTGGGGTTTTCCTGGGGCCACCTGTTCCAAAAGTCTCCGTTGATGGCCCCCAGATTCTGCAGCGAGTGGAAGACAACACCCTTATCTCCTATGACGTGTCTGCAGGGGCTGCGGGCGGCGTGGTCTCCCCAAGGTGAGTCCCTGCCGGGCCCCCTCCTCTCAGCCAGGCCTTCTGCACTTTGGCTTTGGGTCATTGTCCCCTGAACTAACCCTCCCTCCCGCAGGGACTTTGTGAATGTCCGGCGCATTGAGCGGCGCAGGGACCGATACTTGTCATCAGGGATCGCCACCGCACATAGTGCCAAGCCCCCGACGCACAAATATGTCCGGTGAGCCTCACTTTGCCTGGGGTCACCCCTGCCAGCCCCTCCCCTGGGAGCATTGAGCAGCACAGGGTACAGCATGTACAGCTGGGCACTTCCCCTGCTGAGGCTGCGTTCCTGTTTCCTGTCCCGCTGGGCTCTGCTCCTCCCGGCCACTAATCCTGCTAATCTTGCTGCTCTGTCTGTGGAGGTGGGGAGTGGTGGACAGCTGGAACCAAGCCACCTGGAGGGGTGGAGGGGACATGCAGCGGTGGCTGGCCATGGATGGGGACCCGTGCAGGGAAGGGGCCTGAGAGTCATGTGCTCACCCTGGGCTGATTGACCTGAGCAGGACGCTCTATGCTCTGGGTTTCATCTTCCTGCCTGGAGACTTGGGTCCCCTTTCGTCCCCCTCACCCTGTCCTCACTCCCTCACCTTTCTTTGGAGTGGCTCAGGAGTCCCCCAAAGATAAAGGGATTATGGTCTTCCCGCATCTGTGCCTGGGCTTCTGAAGTCTTCCCTTTTGTCTAGTCTTAGGCTGTGGTGCTGTGGGTGGCCCCCTCCCATAGACCCCACTCTTCCCCATCTCCTCCTGGGTTCCAGCAGGAGCACTGTTCTTTGGATAGGGTGCCAGGCTCTGCTTTGGGCACTGGACAGACTTGCTGGGTGCAGGGCAAGCTTACTTCCTCTCTGGATGCCAACTTCCTTATCTGCGGAGTGGGCTCAGGCATGCTTAGTGGAGCTGAGGGAGAATGAAATGGTGATGGGATGTGAACTGTGCCTCCCAAGCTTAGTCTCCTCCTGAGCAGGTGTCCCCTCCTGAAAGGGAAGGGGTAAGAAGTGCCAGCCCAGCCTACTCTGCCATAGCAGGGCTGACCTGGAATCTGTGGACAGAGTGGATGAGGGCTGGGAAGGTGGTGAGCTCCCTGCCCCTGGGGGTGTGCAAGCACTAACAGGCTGTTGGAGGATTCAAGCATCACAGAGTGGGTGGGGGTGGAGGGCCGATTCTCAGCCCCTGGGACACCTGTGCTAAGCCTTGTTCAGACAGGGTAGCTCTGCCTTTCTGCTTCCAGCCCAGTCCCAGCTGGGCCAAGAATGGAGGGTGAGTGGTGGGGGCTGCTGGGGGGTGTCAGGGCCTCACTCTGTTCCAAAAGTCCCCCCAATGACGCCTCTTTCCATAGGGGAGAGAATGGCCCTGGGGGCTTCGTCGTGCTCAAGTCGGCCAGTAACCCCCGTGTCTGCACCTTTGTCTGGATTCTTAATACAGATCTCAAGGTGGGGTGCTGGGGGGCTGCCAGGTGGGTTCCGTGGAGTAGAGGGGACCCTGCTGCTGCCTTGGTTGCTGCGTGACCTTGGGAGCTCTCTGCCATGCCTGGGCCTCCCCTGTGTCAGCTCCTTTCTTACTTGAAAACTCGGGTCAGGGTCCAGATGGTCTCTTAGCCCTGGATTGCTGTAGGGCATGTGCCCCCACTTCTTACCTCTGAGTCCTGAGGCCCTGAGGAGGGGTGGCTGGTGGCCAGCCCAGCCCAGCCCCACCCTGGTCTGTTTGTGTGGCTGGTGCCAAGAGCCAGGCCCAGCATGTTCTTCCCGCCAGGGGTGAGTGGGAGAGGGCGGCCCAGGCTGGATTCCAGAGCTGCACCTGCATTCTGACCCAGAGCCCCCCTGCTGGTGCCAGCTGCAAGGGGAGACCCTGCTGAGGGCAAGCCGTCAAGTGACTTCTGCCTGCCTTCCCCCAGGGCCGCCTGCCCCGGTACCTCATCCACCAGAGCCTCGCGGCCACCATGTTTGAATTTGCCTTTCACCTGCGACAGCGCATCAGCGAACTAGGGGCTAGGGCGTGACTGTGCCCCACCCACCCTGCGGGCCAGGGTCCTGTCGCCACCACTTCCAGAGCCAGAAAGGGGGCCAGTTGGGCTTCCGCTGCCCACATAGGACCTGGCCCCAGGTTGTCACCCTCCACCAAGCCATGCAGTGCCTGGAGTCGACTGTCTGAGCAGGCTGTGGGGTGGAGCACTGGACTCTGGGGCTCCCCTGGCTGGAGAAAGTGGGGTCTGGCCTGCTGATGTTTACATGGTGCCCTGCCTCCTGGAGGAGCAGATTGCTGTCCCCTGCCTTGCCAGGGCAGGGTCTGGGCTGGGCGCCTGACTTGGCTGGGGAGGGCCAGCGCGGGGGCAGGGCAGGGCAGGCTAGGCTGTCACCGTGTGAAGATGAAGGGGTTCTTCATCTGCCTGCGCTCTCGTGGGTTTTTTTAGGATTATTGAAAGAGTCTGGGACCCTTGTTGGGGAGTGGGTGGCAGGTGGGAGTGGGCTGCTGGCCATGAATCTCTGCCTCTCCCAGGCTGTCCCCCTCCTTCCAGGGCCTCCTGGGGGACCTTTGTAATTTAAGCCAATTAAAAATATGGACTCAAAAAAAAAAAAAAAACAATTCCAGCCCCTCCCGCTGCCTTGCCTCTTGAGGGAAGAGGAAGGCAGGCAGCAGCTTGGATGAAGAGGGAGACCCCTCACACAACCTCTCCTGGGCTCACAGGAGGGCGGAGCCTGGGGAGCCAGTTCCTGGAACATGCCCCCCCTTTCCTGACCTGTTCAACTGAGCAGATGACTGGTCAGAAAAAATGCCCGCCCCCTGCCAGGCCTCAGCTGGGCAAGTTAAAGTCTCTAGTCCAGGAATGGAGGTGGGGGTATGGGCACCTGGCAGTGCTCACAGCAACCTTGACTGTGTGGCCTGAAGGTGGGGCCTGAGCTTCAGGGTCACTGAGGCATCTCTGGGATCCCAGCCACCTGGAGCCCCGGACCTCCCAGACGCCACTCACCCATTGCCTCTCCCCCCACCGCACTCACACCAGGGGCAGCCTGGAGCCGGGATCGCAGGGCGGGGCCAGGCCACTGCCCTCCTCCTCCCTCCTGGCTGGCTGCCCCCTTGCCTGCCTGCACGGAGGCTTCCAGCAGAGCCAGCTTCTTCAGAGCCAGGTGGATCCTGTCTTGGTCCTGCCTAGGTGTGTGACCCTGGGCGAATCTACCTCTCTCAGCTTCTGCTTCCTACTTTATGAAAATGTGACTGATGTCACAGGGTTGTTATGAGATTAAAAGATACGAAGAACCGGGCACAGTGCTCAGTAATCAGTAGTCTGCAATTCTGCACCCAGGTGGGTGCCCATGGGCCTTACCTGCTCCTGGGTACTCTGCTGTCCCCACGGGGTCCTGAGCTCAGCCCCTGTCACTGCCTCTCCTGCTGCCCTTTGCTTTGTCCACTCGGCAATGTTCTCACTCATCCCCCCACGCCTACCACCTGTGTGCCAGCTTCTTGGACCATGAGTTGCCACTCCTGGGGTGCTGGACTGTCCCCACAGCCATCTGTCTCCCCTGCTCCCCATGAAGGAGAGCCAGTCCCCTCCCAGGTAGCACATCAGAGCTGGCAGGCTCCAGAGGTCTTCTGGTCCTCTTGTAGTGGCCAGAAAGTGGGGAAAGGGGCCCAGAGAGGGGCAGGAACTGACACATGGTCACACAGGCTATTTATGGCTGATCTGGAGCTGGAGCCAGGCCTTCTGTCATCCATCAGAGCCCCTGGATTTCCATTTCACCCAACACAGAGTGTTGGGGTAGAACCGGAGGCCCCCTTCACCCCTACTGTCCTGTCTCCTAAGACCACTTATCTGACCACCAGCTGTGGGGAAGGAAAACACTTGACCAAAGCTTATGCCCCAGGTTCCCAGGTGTGGAATTGACTTCCTGTGCCCCTGCTGGTGTGGTGAGGGTGACTGGGGACGAGGCACTAGGCCTTCGGTGCAGGCGCCTGAGGACGTGGTTGCACTGTCCCTTCTGGGGATGTGCCCTTGAGCCCAGGCAGAGGAGAGCACAGCCAGGGCAGGACCTGGCAGCCCTGGTACAGAGCCCAGAGGGGGCATCAGTTCCTGCTGGTCCTGTTCTGTTTACAGACAAGCTGCTGTCCTCCCTGCAAAGGGGAGTGGGTGGGGCAGAGGGCAAGTGCCAGGGGGGCACGAGGCTGGGCATGTGGCTGGCCTGAGACGGTGTCTGAGTAATGTCAGGCACCTGGAGGCATAGGGCCCTGGACCCCAGACCTCTGACCAGGGAGCAGCCAGCGTCCAGGTACCCTAACCCCTGCCCTGGGTGCGGCGTCCCCCCATTAGTGAGTCTTGGCTCTGCTTATAGCACCTGACACCAGAGGGGCCGAAAATAGCCCCTGGAGAAGGGGGAGGAGGGGGCTATTTAAAGGGCCTGGGAGGGGAGAGGGAGTGAGGAGTGATCATGGCTACCTCAGAGCTGAGCTGCGAGGTGTCCGAGGAGAACTGTGAGCGCCGGGAGGCCTTCTGGGCAGAATGGAAGGATCTGACACTGTCCACACGGCCTGAGGAGGGGTGAGTGTGGGTCTGCCAGAGTCCTGCCTCTGCTCCTCCAAAGCACCCTCACTGAGCCCTGAGGCCAGAGCATGAAGCCCTGGAGAAATTTCTGGGGGTGGGGGAAGGAAGAATGCCCCATGGGAAGAGCAAAGGGGAACCACCCCTCCCGCTCCCAGGTCCCAGCAGCCCTGGGGAGCCCCCCACCCAGCCTGTTCCCGGAGAGCAACAGCTCCCAAGAACTCACTGCCCCTCCCCTCTCCCTAGCTGCTCCCTGCATGAGGAGGACACCCAGAGACATGAGACCTACCACCAGCAGGGGCAGTGCCAGGCGCTGGTGCAGCGCTCGCCCTGGCTGGTGATGCGGATGGGCATCCTCGGCCGTGGGCTGCAGGAGTACCAGCTGCCCTACCAGCGGGTACTGCCACTGCCCATCTTCACCCCTGCCAAGATGGGCGCCACCAAGGAGGAGCGCGAGGACACCCCCATCCAGCTGCAGGAGCTGCTGGCGCTGGAGACAGCCCTGGGTGGCCAGTGTGTGGACCGCCAGGAGGTGGCTGAGATCACCAAGCAGCTGCCCCCTGTGGTGCCTGTCAGCAAGCCTGGTGCCCTTCGTCGCTCCCTGTCCCGCTCCATGTCCCAGGAAGCACAGAGAGGCTGAGAGCGACTGTGACTTGGGCTCCGCTGTGCCCGCCCTGGGCTGGGCCCTTCCTGGCTAGGACTGTGGAGGGGAGCTGCTGGCCATGGCTGCTTTGTAGTTTGCCCAGAGTTGGGGGTTAGGGGAGGAGGGAGCCAGAGGCCAGGATGCCTGAGCCCCCTGAGTTCCCAAAGGGAGGGTGGCAGAGACGGTGGGCACTAAGGGTGGAGAGTTGGGGGCCAGCACAGCTGAGGACCCTCAGCCCCAGGAGAAGGGACAAAAGATACTGGTGAGGGCAAGAGGTGCCTGGGAGGAGTGGCCCTGATCCAGGAAAATGTGAGGGGAATCTGGAATGCTCTAGGCAGAAGAAGCTGGGAGGGAGGGGGAGGTGAAGAGGGCAGAGGCAAGGATGGTGGGGCCCCCAGCACCTTCTGTTAGTGCCGCAATAAATGCTCAATCATGTGCCAGAGTTGTGTCTCTTTCCTTGTGGTTGTCGGGGCTGGCCCATGGGTGTCCCCCCAGTGCCCACTTCTGGGACCAGGCTCTGCATCTGAGCTAAATATGGCAGAGCTAATGAGTACGCCCCATACTTGCGGTGGAGAGGCCAGGACAGAACTATAAACAGAGTGCTGTCTCCAGTCTCCTTCCCGTACCCTGACCCATGCCCAGTCCTGGCATCTGTGTTCAGCCCCCTGGCACTGGGTGGTACCCAGCAAGCCAGCTGGCATCCAGAGTTTGTTTCAACGATGTCTCGTGGAGAATATAGAGGGGCTGGTGCCAGGACTGTCCTTGGCTTTGCCTCAGGGTGTGAACAGGGTCAGTGACCTCAAAGCTAACCTGCCTCTCAGTTCTGAATCCAAGCAGAATCAATCCTCGGCTGTGTCTCGATCCACCCTCCCTGCCCTGGAAGCCAGGGAAGGTTGGAGGTGCTAGGGGTCAGGTTCCTCTCTGTGACCCCTGCAGCTGTTGTGGTGACTCATGTCCCAACCTGGCTGCCTCTCCCAAGGAGACTTTCCCCTGGGGACAAGCGGGAGGGGAGGACATGGACGAGGCCCGCATCAAGCGGGTCCAGGAACCCACGGTGGCAGGAGCTGGGCTGGTGGCCTACCCAGGGCAGAAGGGTCCCGGACTCATCCATAGGGGAAGGAAGGGGTCTTCAGGGAGACCACGGAGATGCCACAGGCAGAATTGGCTTCCCATCCGGGAGATAGGTGGGGACTCCCTGGCATTTTGACAGCCAGGACCTGGGGCGCTGAGCAGAACCTGCAGGCCTGACCTGGCCGCTCCTTTGGAGCAAAGCTGGAGTGTGGGCTGCGAGAGGAGAGGGGTCAGAGCCCCTGCATCCGCAGGACCCCAAATCGGCTGGGCCCCAAGGCCCGGACTGCGCCCCCTGGTGGCCCTAGCGGCCCTCGGCGAATGCGTCCTGCCTCTCCTCCGCCCAAGCCCTCTGCCCTCACCTGGGTCCGGTGCTCCCGACGTGGTGGGAACAACCCGAACTCGAACTTACGGTCCTCGGCAGCCCCCCAGATAAGCGGCTGGGAACCCGCGGGGCCCGCAGGGGAGGCCCGGCTGTTCCGCCCGCTGAGTGCATTAGCACAGCTCACCTCCCCTATCGCGCCTGCCATCGGACGGGCGGTGCCGCGCCCT